CGTCCTGTACCACTTCGATTGAGTCGTGTATGCCTAGGCTGGTTGCTTCAGCTAGCCGAGGCGTAACAGTGACGCCTCAGTCCTGTATCACTTCAATCTCGGCTAGTTGAGAGGCGTAACAATGTGTTTCCTCGACTTCTTGTCTTGGTCCCAATCTAGCTGGAAACTTATTATTTTGCAACTTTGTCGGCATTAAGATATCCCTGTTAAATTGTCTTCTTGATAGACTTCAACTCTCTCCCTAGTTTTCACTTCTTAGTGTAATTCAATGATTTTTAGATCAAAATTGAGAGAAACTTGTATAGTATTGGGTTATTATCAATTATTGTAGAGGAACATTGGTTTTACCTTGAGAATGTTTCGATTCAGGGCTAGAATTTTGATAGCAGTTTGTTCTTGTGGAATTGTATCGCATCAGAGATTAGTTCTTTGAGCTTTGGTGTAATGTTACGTAAAAGCGAGAACAAGCAGAAAAATGAGAACAAGAATACACTAATTTACGTGAAAATCCAAGATGAAAAAAAGTACGGGCAAAAAAGTAGAAATCCACTATATCAAAGATGAGTACAAGAATCGGTGTTTTGATGGCTGCACCAAATTATAATACAATGAAATTCTAATATACATTGTCGTAAAGACCTTAAAAAATTCTCATAATGGTAGCTATCGTTGCCTTTAAAAAGGCAGCTGTGCCAACTGCTTTAAATTTAAAGCTGCCTTTTTAAAAAAGTAGAATTGAAAAAAAATAAAAAAAAATTAGCCAGCTTGGCTCGACTCAAAGAGGCCCGAGTCGAACCCTATTTTTGGGCAGAGTTTTGGCTCGAGTCGAACCAGAAAAACCTCAATTTATTTTTACACAAACCTTCTTCAAGCCATGGACTTCGACTCGAGACTCACGTAGCTCGTTTACATCCTTACTCCCAACCCCAATTCATTGGGTTATGCTTTCAGCTGTGTATAAAATATATGTCATGCAAATGGTCGAATCTAGACATACCCAAATATCCTTAATTGAAATGGATAAAGACATCAAATGCAATGATAAAATCTTTTGGCTCCAGAGGGAAAAGTCTTGACTTTGTGCATGGGGAAAAATGGTGGACTGAAATGCCTTAAGCCCTATTTGACGCAGATTAAAATTAAATTAAAATTTTAAATTACAATATCAACAATTAATTTTAATCACATATGGGATTCACAACTTTTTTATTACATATTTCATCTATCAAAATCTACTAAAAATTTGATTTTAATATGCGCCAAACAAGGGCTAAATTTGAAATTGAATTTTTTTTCGTGCAATACAATTTGTTTGATGAGTTCTTCGCATATACAATATCATTGTTGAAAAATTGCAATAGGAAACTGTTATGAACAATATATATTTACTTGCAATTGGAGGATTTCCGCAGCGAATTGCATTCTATCAACGAAGGAGTCCCTCAAAGAGTAAAGTCTTTGAGCAATACAGGTAATAGAGAGAGAAAGTATTGCTTTCTCCTAAGGGTTTTCTATTTAGTTTCTCCCAATTAATTAATAATTGTTATCTCCTATAGTTAGAGAGATTGTAATTCTCCTATTATAATAGAATTCCTTTACCCGTGATTTTACCCCAAAACTACATTGGGGGTTATTCACGTAAAATCCAAGTGTTTATTTTAGCTTTAGTTTTTACTCAATTTCACTTGAGTTGCGTTCTAAATATTACGTTCGATTTCCTAACACTATCAGCTCAAATTAGGAGAAAGTGAAATTGTATAAGTTTTATTTTTTTAGTCACCAACCATCCTTAGTTACATAATAACATTTTTGTGTAATTCAAATTATTAAAAGATGATAGGCCAACAAAATAAACCACACGTAAAGAAGGTTATTTCTTTATATATTGCAAGTACATTAATATTTAAAGGTCAATGTTAAAACATTAATTTTATCAACACATTTCTTAGGACCTAAAACTACTACACACTACTCATTTCTATCACATTATAATTTCAATTACCTATAAGTAAAGCCAAACAAATACTTAGTTATTGATGTCGCGGTAAAGTTATTTTTCAATTAACAAGAGTCATTTATACGTAAATCATGGATTTAAAAGTAAAAGTAAGTAGGGTCAATTTTCATGTATTACACAAGTTCATGTCATTGAGTTGTGTCAAAATTGCTTACATTCAATTGACATTGTAACCAAGATGCATTCTCATTTCTCATGTTTCTCTAGCGTGGTTTGGACCTTCCTAGCAACTTCTTCAACCTAAGTCTTCGCCGCTTCTTCTCCATCTTATATATTTAGTTTGATTTTAGATAACGGGAGAAAATTTTAATTGTAGATCTTCCATGTACATACGATAAACTATGCAAATATTATATACAAACAATTTTCGGCTTAGGGTACTCAAATGGTTTTATTTTTTTTTTTTTTTTTTTTTTTTTGGTAAATTAACAAACGAAAGTAAATGACTGGCATACATATTCGATCAACTCAATAGAGTACCCAAAATAACAATGTTGCTACTTACAACTCTTTTAGATAAGTAAGATTCGCAAATTCTGCAGGCAAGATTCCAGTCAAATTGAAACCCTTCATCTGGCTGTACATACAAAGTGGAGTTGAATTTGAAACATGACTTAAATAAATAACAATTTCTTAATGAATAATGACCGTGTTAATCATCTCAATTCACCATAAGAACACCCCCGTTGAGGGTAAAATGAGAGAAGAAAACAAAACATTAGGTACATTTCGACTCCCTGGGCTATATGGAAGAGGCTCTTTATATCTATTTCATAACCATTGTATTTCTTCTTAAAACTCTCAATGCAAAATATGGAGGCCATAAATACAACAAAGTCAATTAAATTTTAAGCCTAGCCAAACATATGTCTAAGCTTAGAAGTTTTTTTAAGCAACTATTTTTTTCAAACACATTGGCTTGTTCATTCACAAATTTACTTTTCTTAAAAAAGTAATTTTACGTTTCTCTTTAGATCTCACTTCGTGCTCTTGCTTCCTCCTTCCCCATCTCTGAGGCTTAGGTGGAGGAATGGAGCATGTGGAAGGATACCAGTGGCTGTATACAATCCAAGGATCCGCGTGAAGATTGGCCAAACATGCTTTATGCATATGGGGTTAAAACTAATTTTTTGTTATTAATCAAAGATTTTAATTTTTTTCTGTCAATATTGTCCACTACTATCACATCCACCTTACCAAATTGCCATAAATGTACAATCACAAAAACTTTGAACAAAAAAAGAGTAAGAGCATACATGTGCGTCACATGGCAAACAGTCTTGTTAACAAATGAACAGTCACAAGTCACATTGCTGTAGACATCGTCACCCCAAATGGTCATGTTAAAACCGGTACTCTCACTGCAAGATCTTCGCGTAACATTCCAGTATTTGTTTTGTAATCTCGATGATATTCTTTCAAGAACTTGTACTGTCAAAGCATAAAAGCAACCATAGAATATATGAGAAATCAAACAAAATCTGTTTTTCTTCTAAATAACTGTACTGAAATACAGTTCTTTATCTTATCTTAACAGAAATCCTTGAATGAAAAGTTGAATAAATAAATAAATAATAAAAAATCCATTATTGCAAAATAAACGCCATGGGAAGTCCATCTCTTTCTTATCTTTTTCATATTATACTTATACTAACATAATTAAGAAGTACCAGAAATACCCGATAGGCTATCAATTCAATGAATAGGAAAAATATCAAGCAAAAGAATACCCAGATTAACTTCCAGATTGAATAGGCAGTTACAGTAATACAGAAATGCATGAATCACAGTAAAAAAAAAAAAAAAAAAAAAAGGGAAAACCTTCAATTCTTGCTTAATTATCTTAACAGAAACACAGAGACGTTGCTTAATGAAGGTGAGCTACCTTCGTTTTCAGGCAGAAGTTGTGCAACAGACGTCAAAACAAGAGATGCATAAACACTGAAAATAACGATTTTCACAAAATTTGTTCTGGTTTTAGCCCTTTTGGTAAGAAAAAACTCCATTAAAACTCTTATTCTGTTCAATCCAGCCAAAGAAATTTCATGACACCCCCATTATATTAATTAATGAAGACGAAGATTAATCAAAAGTTGAAAAAGGAAAAAGAAGAAAAGTTGGTTTTGCTTGAGAGTTTCCAAAAAGTGAACAGAAGAAAGTATCGTCGAACTCCAATAATGCTGTTGGTTTTGGAATGGAAAATGCAGAAAGAACAGAAAAATTATGAGTTATTAGTATTAACATGAGACAAAAATCAGAAAAATACTTTTTACTTATTGAAAAATTCAAAATATTTTTAAATTTTAGAGATTCGACTCTTCTACATGTCAGACTTCAATTTCTTTATGTGAAATCATTATGCTGCTGCATGTTTTGGACTTTTGACACGTATATGTACGATGCACATGGAGGCCGCACTCTCCATCTAAAAAATATAGAAGCCATCAAATATTTGTTGGATTGTCACCCGCGCGAATAGTATGTACATGCTGGAAAATTAGTTGCGGATACTTGTTGAGAACAACAATTTTAATGAATAGAGTAAGAAAATTTATTACGATGCTTATCACAGTACGGTGTTCTAAAGTAAAATTGTTTGTGAACTGCAGTGCCCCTTTGAACAATTACTTCCATGATACAATTATCGAATTAATTCTATTGCAATTACAAGCGATTTTTAGAACTCTTAAATTTTGCTATAGAAAAAATAAATGTAAAATAATTCTTAAATCGATTTTGCATAGAAGTACATAAGACGAAATGTTTTCAATGTCTTTTTTCCAAGAAAAAGAGAGGTATATACAATCCACAAATTATAACTTCCAATAATAATTCGTAATGTAATAAAATAAAACCCTTGGTTTTATTATTTTACTGATTTTGGAGATTGTATAATGCTTACTTTGAAACTTTCCGTTTATACAGTAGTGATCCTTTTCTTTACTTTTCTTTTTTTTTTTTTCCTTTTTTTTTTTCTATCTTCATATTTGGATTTCTATCTAATGATCTAGGACGTAATCCTAGACATGAAGAATAAAATTCAAAGTGTTTTTCTTGGTTAAATTTTAAGTTTGCTTAGGATTCTATTAATTCCACATGTTTAACTAAAATTTCCAAAATTTGAAAAAAAGAAATAAATAAATCATGTCATCAACTGAATGTTAGACCAATTAATGTGGTCCCGCGTAATATTATAAATAAATTAATATTTGGTCTATATATATTAAAAATCTGATTGGTCATTGAGAAGTGACAGTTTTGTAACTGTCCACTTTGATGGAAAGTGGGTAGTTTTGGCCTAAAAGAAAACTGCCTCTCTTTGCCTTTTTAACGTGAATGAAAAACCATCAATAAGAACATTCAAGAACAGTTTTATTTATTCTCACTGATTTCTCTTTTACAGATTTAATAAATTCCAATTTTCTTCATGGATCAAGGTATGTTACTTGATCAAATTACTCATACGTGAAAATCATAGAATTCCAAGATCTTGGCATTAAAGTATGAATTAATTGCTTACATGTGGTATCAGAGCCCAAGTTATGGAATTCATGATTTTTCGTTAAAGATTAATGTTTTACATTCATAGATCTTTAATTTTTCGTATCGATTTATGGATCAATGCGTAAAATAAGAATGACAGATTCCGCTGCAAATATGTTTCTGTTTTCTGATTGACTGCTGTTAAAATAATAAATGGATCTTTGATTTTTTACTGCACCGATATTAATCTGTGAAAAGAGCAGTCCCTGTTTCATCAGAAAAATTACACATCAATTGCATTTATTATTGTTTCACGTATTATGTAAATTAACGGATGGGATGACTTCCGTAGAAAACATTATTAATTCTGTCAAACCTGATGAATTATTATTGGTTGAAGAAAAGTTGATTTCTTGGTTTTCACAATGAAAAGTGGATCTGCC